CAATATTGTGTTCTTCAATAAATTCATATTAAAAAGTTCGTAAAGGGGTGTGGAAGAAAATCTGATACAATTCGAATACTTAATCGTTCAGTTTATTCGTATGGACAATTAAACGATACATATACATGGTGTGTACGAATTACGTGTCTCTCTCTTAGGTCTAATACATCGACAGCGATCGGAGGCGCGTACAGTGTGTCGTACAAGACAAAGTACCGCCGCGATTGCGCAGCTACGTTTAATGATAATAATAAAAATTAAGTATAACTACCCTGTAAAATACGTAATGTGAAAGTTTTCATTGATACTTTATATTTATACTTGATTGTAATTCACTGATACTCGAGAGAATGATACTATCGTTTCGGGCTTAGCGGTATAAATAGGTAGTCGTTTTTTGCAATTCAATATTTTCACGAATTTCGGAGATCTATGATATTAATCGTTTTATTCAGGCAATCGACAATATCGGGCAGTGTCGAACGAGCGACGATACGTTCGTTCGACGCCTCATACAACTCAGACGGTAATACCCGTAGGAGACAATATCAATCATAATTACGACGCGTAATCGTCGCGTTATGTCGATAAATGAAATGTTATTGCTGATGAATTGTAGATGTTCATTTTGCTCCTCATTTTAAAAAACGATCAACGTTAGTTCGGCCGCAAGACAAAAGTACATCTTTGTCATTTCAAAGTCTTGATTGATTTACGTCATACATTTTATTGCATACGCTCGCAAGGGTAGCGGTATGCGATTGAATATTTTTCTTGCTCTTGAGGCTAGATTTTATTATACAAGATCGGCGCCTTTCTGACCGTTTATGCAGCTGGGCGAGGCTCTTGTTTCGAGTACGAATTTGGGGAACCACGAGTTACACGTTCTTATCGATATTCGATCGAGCAAACGTGTACACGTATTCTCGACCAGTGCTTCGTGAAAAAATACATACGTTATGATCAGAAAAATAAATTCTACTTCGTTACGTCTGCAGCAACGAAGAAAAACAAAACAAAAGAAAGAAATAAGCAACCTTCGTCTTGTTACGTGCTACGTTTACCCTTTTGTCGGTGGTCCGTAATTGTCAGAAAATAAGTTTAATAACATGTCAGAAATGATTCGTAGCAAGGATCTCGAGGATTTACAATAAATACAGATTTATAAAAGTACAATCGCGAAATGCAACGAGCACATATAAAACACTTGGTATCAGTAGTCGTTTACTTTCAGCTGCCACGTGGTAATTTTGTCGTGTGAAATGCAAACAAATTGGATTGATGCTGTTCGACGCATGAAAGAGAATGGTCCCTAAAATAAAGAAAATCGATAAAACTTGGTCTCCGTACGCGAAACCAATATTGTCCTTAAGGAAACGTTTTCGAAGTTGCAGATAAAAAATCATTTGTGTGAAAATGCTTTACAATGTATACGCTTATACACGAATGATACGTGTTAAATAAAATACTGACGGTCTTCGAATATGCGTGTTAACATCTTATACCGCACATGCAACACTTGTTCTCACCCTGATTCTTAGATCTATAATATTAAACACGTCGCATATTGTTTTTCCGACGAGTTAACAATTTCGAAGATACGTAAAAAAAAGGGAAGGTATAAAATGGATGTCGTGTATTACTTGTAATGCGCGATGGTCATCGGGCGCGATCAGTCAAATACTACAGAGATATTCTCGACAACGCGTTACGCGTTTGACTACCGGTTATGATGACCTCGCGTTATGATAACAGTTCAAAGGTTGTCTTCTTTGTTATAAATATCTAAGGTACGACATTGGTAAGTTATGTATATATATATATATTTGTTTATAGCGTAACCGATTTCATATTTCTAGGAATCAATGCAGCTGTATTCGACGCTGCAGTGATCGTGTAACACGATTTTCGTACCCTGTCTCTCTCGCGTAAAAACAAGCTTTAATAGTTGCTTCGAATTCTGTTTGCATATATAATGTCTGTATACGTGATGTGTGCTTCGATACCGTTGCTGGTACCATTTGCATTCGTAGGAGGTTTTCATTCCACGGTTTTCTTCGTCAAAATTCTTTCGATCTCGATTGATATACAGGGTGAGAGTAAAACGACAATACTAGTCTGTATTAAAATTATTTAAGAGCCTCACGATTCCGTTTCTCTTGACGAGAATACGATGCTGGCACAGTTTCAAAGATCGGTGTCGTACCAGGCTGCAACCTGGTCGTTATCTTGTGGTGGTGCAGGAAGCTCCCCTAAATGATCGAAACTCAGGTCACCCTCGTGCGCTACGTCCATAGTGTCCATCGCGCCATATGTCGACCCTCCACCTATTTCCAATCCTTGCATCGAATCTACTGGTATCTGGTCATAACCTGTTTTGTACAAAATTTATGGTAAATTCAAACTAATAGTTTCATAAACAGTACAACGTTAATTGACAATAACTACATTTTCAAAGGTTTTGCTAAAATTTTCTCAACCCAGTGGTACACAACTTTATCAAAAGTGTTCACGGAACATTCTCTCGCTGAAATTTTTTTTATGTCAACAGAAGCTAAGTGGTTTACTCCTTTTCTTTTTAATCATTAGATTTTTTAACATTCCTGTTGCTCAAAATCAAGTAAAATTGTATTTCTGTAAAAATTTCATTGAAAAAGATGAACGCTATAGTTTAAGCGGAAACTTTCTTCGTAATGCTTCGTAATCGCGATAGCAAATATTGTGCAAACGTACCTATCTTATCTAATTACTTACGAGTACTTATCTATGCTTCTTTCGACCACAAAGAATATTGAATTACAGGAAAGATAAATACAAATGTCTCATGCATAAAATTTTACAAATAAATGAAACGAAAAATAAATAATGAAGACGCTATGAATCTGCCGTGTCTCAGATAAAAAGCATTCACAAAACGTGCATTACGTTTAATATTTAACAACTTCAATAAAACGTGTAATATTGTGGCTAGAATATGAAGTTTAACTATGTGTAAAATGAAAAGCTTGTAAGGAGACATTTAGCGATTAATAACAAAGCACAGAATAGTACATAAGAGCTGAGTGTCACCTATGTTACTGCGAGATACAGTTGATAGCCTGTATTTTAATATAAGTCCGTGGGTTAAGCTGCTGTTAAAATAACATAGAATTAAATGCATTGCTTTCCTTTTATCGTCGATAGTTTTTAGAAATATATAGGGTTACTAAATTTTTAACTTTCTGTACACCGTATAAGTAGGAGAAAGAACACTGACACAAAATCCGCATTACCATACCAATCGATTTTCGATGCAATAATTCAGAAAAACCTGTTGGTTTTGTAAAAGTTTCGACAGTAGACGATTGACCGTTGGATCACATTCGTTATAAGGCGCATTGAAAGAAGTTTCAAAGATCGCATCGTAAATATCGCGTGAAAATACAATTTTGTACGTCCATCTACGTTCGATCGAAATGTATCGATTGTCCGAAAGCAATTAAAAATCGGATAAAGAGGATGAGGCTTCCACCTTACCTTGCGGTTGATACCCTCGACCTCCGTGGCTGCTGTGTACGCTAGGGGGTCCTTGGCCATACATACCATCATAGCCTTGATCAGGGCCAAGCATGTCCTGAAGAGATTAGGTAGCTCAGATCAACACAAAACGTATCTCCTCTTGCGGACGTGTCTTTTAGCCAGTGAGGGTATACGTCAAGGTATTCACGTCGCAGTATCAAGTCGCGCGGGAGAAATTATTCAATGGCATAATAATGTACGTGAAATGGAAATCGAAGTATGACGCGGTCGAAATTAATCGCGAATGGTTTTGTTATTCAGTTTTGGGGCGGGGCAAAGGGGTTGAAACATGAATGATAATGAAAGGCATTCTCATGCATAACTGAATGTTGCAAACTAAGGATCATAATAAATCATCGCTGTACATTTATTGCAGATTCCATTGCTCCATTAGGCACGACCTTGAGCTCATGAATAGGAATTCAATTCGCAAGTGTACGATCTTTTTTGTATTGGGCATGTAATGAAAAGGTAAGGTACAATATAATACGCGTAATTTATAAAAGAAAATGTTAATGATACTTAAAAGTTTATCGTCAACTTTTGATATTCAGTAAAATTATATTTATACACGATTAACGACTGATTCACTTTTTGCTATATACGTAAGTTGTGCGAACTGGAATAATGGATAAATAACACTCACTATCTAGATGTACACTTCTAAACTTACATGAAGGGGAAGATTACGTATGCAAGTACCTGTTTACTAGTCAGTAGATAAAATTACTGTATCGCTATGTCCTCGTGGCTTAATTTACTTAACACGATGTAACCAAATGTAAAAGAGAAAGTTTGTAATTCGATGAAACAACTTACGAACCGATGGCGAATCAGCTTCATGAATCACATATTTTATTCCTGGAATCTAATCGAAAGCTAGCACGATATAGCATGTGTATTATACTAAAGTGAATTTTTAACACAGCAGCACATGCCGCTAGATGAAAACAAAAAAAAGTCAGCGCTATGTTACAAGGTGTTTCGTAAATGAATAAATTTAGCCACGGCATAAGCGAAACATGCATCGATGTAATGAGTAACGGTACCTGTAAATCTGGGCCCATCCCGAAGTCAGCGTTGTGCCAAAGGTTTGCGTCCTCGCGCAACAGGGAATTAGTAAGTTCCATGGAGAGTCGCTTCTTGTACTCTTGTGGTTTGTCTTCGCTCATGCGGAACAACACAGCCGCCGCATAAGTCGCGACGCCTTCATTCCTAGAGTGAAGCAGCTCTGTCAAAGGAGCAGTAGCACCTTCTTGTTCGATCATTTCAGCACCTTCTTTATCCGCAGCAAGTTCGCAAAGCACACCAGCTGCGACGCGTTGAATATTCTCGATTTCGTTAAACAATAACTATGAACAGAAGACAGGAACATCAAACAAATAATTAACATTAATTACCAGATAAATTGTAACACATACGAACCTGTACGAAAATTGGAATCACATTCTGAGATCTGATGATGACTCTATTGTGAGACTCCCTAGCAAGAATATGAAGCGCTCCAACGGTACCTTCGACAATTTCTTCCATTCGAACGCCGCCATCCGCGTATGCACCTGATGTTTGCTGGCTTCCGGTGCTTGCCACGGACGATCGTTGCTGCTAAAAGGAGCAGATTTCTTTCGTAATTTATGTGCCGACTTATTTGTCTGCAGAATGAATGAGATTAAAATTTGTTATTACCCGTTGTGTCTCGGGGAATGCACGCATCAGAAGCCTGACCAAATGATGAATTGCGCCATGGTCACGTAGCGGACCGTGATTCGCGGGACAGAGTGCCAAGTTACGAATTAATCCTATCACCGCTTTAACAAGTGGCCAGCGCGAAGGTGGGTGTAGAAGTTTTACTATGACTTGAATGCCGTAATTTAGACGAACTGAATTTTGTGCCATTTCCGCTTCTACGTGGCGCGACGTTAAATGACGAAGCGCGCATACAGCTGGTTCGCTGATTTCTTCTCGGCTGTCTGCATAAATGATCGTGCGTACGAGAGCGTCCACACCTCCCACTTGACATACTGTTACTTTGTTGCGTTGATTGTTGCAAGTCAAATTTGACAAGATACCGGCGGCACACGTGACAACGTTTACGTCGGTCGAGCTAAGGACTTGTACGAGACTCTGTAGTAAACCTTCCAGTCCGTCGACCTTAGTACCGGCGTCTGATAAATTTCGTAACGTCCACAAACAATTCTGGACGAGTCTCTGGCTTGGGTTACCAAGATGCATCGCCAATGCCTGCATGCCACCAGCTTCGACTATCACTGGCTTATTGCTGAGACAGACTGACAGAACTTTCAAGGCCCTCGATGTTGTCCATAAAAGCTTCTCATAATCGTATGAACGCATGATGCGTACCAATTCTATTGGTCCTTGAGAAGCCAGAATGATTAATTTACTTTCCTGATTACCGTATGCGAGAATTTGCAGGCAATCGGTTACTATAGCAAGAAATTTCACGTTATCGCGTTGAAGTAGAGCGACCATTTTTTGTAATCCTCCAGCGAGGCGCACGGCCATCTTAGAGCCATCCTGGTGCAACAGTAAATTATGCAGGGTAGTGATAGCATAAAAGAGAACGGATTCCATTGGAGAACTTAGAAGCTTCACGAGAGCGGGTATACCGCCACTCTTGAAGATCGCCAGCAGGCCTTGTCTGTGATGAGATAAATTGTGCAACGTGCCAACAGCCGCCTTCGTCGATTCAAGATCGTCGCTATTTGATATGGCACGTACTAAAGCGGCTACCATTTGTGAACTGTTCATAATTGCGTGGCGAGATGCTTCCTTCTTGGATAGTTGATGAACCACCATCGCCGCTTTGGATACAACGACTTGATCCTCGTCATTTAATAATTTTATTAATTCTGGTATCGCGCGTGTTGCGAGATCCGCGTCATCTTGATAATTAATCAAATTGACAACTGCGTGCTTCAACATTTGGCTGGGTTCTGCCAGTCTCTGTACAGCAGTAGGTTGAGCTGGATCGTACTGCGTAGAGGGAATTTCTATACCCTCTTCCAATGTTTCTGGGAACATAGCCGCACGAACACGTTGCGATCTCGTATGATTTAATTGTTGATTCATCTCGTCCACTTGATCTTGAGTGAAACCCTGAGCGAATCCCTGATCGAGATCGAACATCAGCTGATCGCCCTCCATCTCGTCATCTTCTTTCCCTGAGAGGGAAGGTGCTTGGGTGACAGCACCAGAATGAATTCCTGAATCACCCATGTAGGAATTTTGCTGCCACATCAATGTCTGTTCCTTGGCGGAACCCATGGGTAGGTCACCCAAGCCTTGATAATTTCCATGAGACACTATAAAATTAAAACAGTGGCATAAAACCCGTGGACAATATTGTTGTACAAAAATGGATTAAAGAAATTACTTACTTGGTCTGGATTGATTCGAAGACATTTGATAACTCATGGCTCCTACGGGAGAATCTATCCACACCTAAAATTAAAAAACGAAACTATGCTACACAATCACGAAGTGATACTAATTTATAATAAGGCCGCCTTCCCATAAAAGATTTAAAAAAAATAAAACCAAGCAATGATACAATTAAAAGGACGATGAAAAAATATTAACACGATTTGATTTTGGACGCGATGAACGTAGCTTCAAAGTAGCGTTTAAGTGAGTACGGAAACGTGATACGAACTGGAATGCACCTCTGTCGACTGCACAAGACTAATGAGAAAAAAAAATGTCTTCGATCTCACAACGTTTATGCGATTTACGCGTCTCGACTGCAGATTCGAAGACGCCACGACGCGCGTAGCAGGGTCAGTGCACCGTAATGCGAAGAATGGAAGGAGATGCAACTGCACGGAATGTGAGCACGATCGAAAGATTCTTTTCTAAGCCCTTGTTGCAGCTTCCACTTTTAATCATGGAACACAAGCGTCATTTCGATCGGATACCGCACAGGAAATCGCGTTCAGAGGTGCACACGAGGCGCGAACGATGTCCGATTCCCGATGGTAGAGGGACGCGCGTGGGCGTGCGGCACAACAAAGGTTCTGAGAATGCGATGCATCACCATTTTCCGAGGATCCACGAGAGCGGCGGAGAGCGGAGCGTGGAGAGAGCGGCAGGGAATCAGTGAAAACGGAAGGAAGGGACGACAAGAGGTGTACTGGATTACGATACACGCTTATAATGGAAAAGAGAGGAAGGGAACGAGAAAGGGAGAGAGAAAGAGAGAGAGAGAGATGAAACACTTTGACACACCCAGCGTAAACACCGCCGTCACGGAAATGACAATTTTTTTTCTCTATATCGGTCGATGTAATGGCGAATGATAAAATTCTGTTGCGCTTACCGTATCTGCAAGGATCGACCGAGGGCGATTTCGTGAATCGTGCTCGAATCAAGACACGAATGACTCACTACTTTACGCTCGATCCGCCGAAATTCCCTTTGAGGCTCTGGCACTCTCAATCCAGCCTGTCTCTTCCCTCCGCACGAACCTCTTGGACTTTCTTGCCTCGAATCCGTCAACTAAAGATGGCGGAAACCGACGCGGAACCTTACGATTCTACCGCCACCTGTCGACTGCACTGATTCGTTATTGCAGTGGTGCTCATTGTCAGTGTCCGTAACTAGCTGGAGATGTCTATACGAGAACATTTATCGATTTTAACCACTCGTTGCGAATACTCGATCTTATCTAACTCAACTCTCTCCCGCTCTATTTCCAAAAAGCTCTACAGGTCTCTTAACTTTCTTTCCTTTCCTTTTCGTCCGTTCATTACTTCTGGACGTAAATATTGTGAGTACTCGTCGCACGTTCTAAAGTTGAAATTATATTGTATAATTATAAGTTAGGACGATTGAAAGTAAAGAACTTCAATTACGCGTGAGGGTTCTTCTCGAGATACGAATTGTAATTTGCACAGTATTAAAAATGCGCGAATGAATTTATATGACTATATACATTCGAGCGTGCGTTACGCATACGACCGCAAAAAACGAATCTAAATCTGCCGCTATGTCAGAAGAGAATATGCTGCATGATGAAACTGGCAATAATTCATAATGTCCCAATATCTCACGCACAAAGACTGAGGAATAATATCCCGCGCAGTCGAGGAGATCAATTTCAATTAAAAGACAATTCTCCGGAACGTGGCAATTTTTTAATGGATTCGCGGGTATTTGTCCATCCACGGTAGCTGAGAATTTCTGATCGAGTTCGAGAGTAAATCGTGCCGCCGGACAGCTAGAATGCGCACAAAATAACAGACACTGGAGTCCAAAGTAAAATATACTGGCCGTTTGGCGGGAACACCATTCGTTATCGGCTGCGCCCACGCCGATTAATTTTCGGATGCGTGATGGCGGTACCGTTCCTTCCGTTCCGTACAGTGATGATACATTTTATGTCAACGCTGATATTGAACGGATAATCGGAAAAAAGGAAAACGCGTTTTGAAATACATCATCGTATGCCGATATTGAAATATCGGGGCGCAAAGCTTCCTGGAACAAATTTATGTCCGTTCTTTTAATTAATAACAAGCAGTAACTACGTTCTGCATAATTTGAAAGATAAACGAAACGGCACCCTGTTTGGTTTTGCTCGTGATCAAGATCTTGATCGATTTACCGCGCGTATTTCTCGCAACACTGACACTCATACATAAGTAATTTCTTGTACCTCGCTGCATTAATGAAATATACATACTAGATCGAAACGATGAAACAATATTACTGGTCGGCATAAAATTTCGTACAGGTATTATCTGTACAAGAATAAAAGAAATAACGATAAGGAATAAAAAGTTCAGTGAGAAATTTATTCAAGCTGAATTGTGGAATGTCATTTGAAAGACAAGAACTCGTAAGGTGCCAAGCAAACCTTGGACTGAATGGATGCATGTGCCAGGAGAAGGACTGCATAATCTATATGATCGTTAATATCTTTTGATGACACGCTTATTAAAACACTCCATAAAAGAGAAGGAGTTAAAAGTGAATTTCAATCGAGTGAAATTATTATTTTCGCTTCGCGAAAGGTTCCGATTGAAATATATTGAGCGGCCGAAAACTTTCACGGTGATTCATTGCGCAAGAGAATATGCATTTTTTCTTAAAACGTTTATGTATTTATTTACGTAAGTATCGGGTATACCGTAGGTTTTAAACTATATTTGCAAGCCTAAAGGAGAATCACGTAGCCCACGCTTCGTTATATCGGGAATATACCACGCTCCTTAACCAGATCGGCAAAAGCGAATGTTCGTTGTCCATGAGAGAAAAATGCACGCAACGTTCGCATCGATCTATCCACCGATCGGTTCATTGATTGAACGAGCAAGGGTTAACAGAGTTACGATCTAAGAGTATTAAGATTGCATTCCGCTGGTTTGCCAGATCAATTTTTTGAATTCGCACGGTCCACGAAAGAAAAAACGGAAATATACCTATACACTGTCTTGAAGGTAGACCAGGTAGAGAACATAGAGGGTGACAGATGCCCGTTCAACGGTGTGTCTCCCCACCTACGCGGTCCGTTGCTGACACGAGCGTTTATGTCTGCATAAATTCTCATTTGAGCCCCGATAATAAAGTAAGCACACGAGGGGGACGGACACACGTTGCCCGGTTCGGCGAGCACAGGCTGATACATAGATCACCGTTGAACGTGGGGCAAGAAAAGGGGGAAGAGTCCAGGCAGGGTTGCGAGGGACAGAGACAGGAGAAACGGCAAGAGAGATAGAAGAAGTGAGAGGAACAGACGAAGACAGAAGGGATGAGGTGCTCAGGGGCTGAGAGGTTCGCAGGGGTAGAGGGACCAACGATGGCTAGGCATATATTTATGTGTATCTATGTATATATGTATAAGGTACACACGGGCACACGCTGCCTCTCGAACGAATCACTGCACAAAGCTGGACGCACGCACGTACACAAGATTCTCGAGATGCAACGTGCTTAATTATGTGCATTCTCAGAATCTGCGCTGCTCTCCTCCGCTTCATACCCGTGGTCGTGTATTCTGCAATGCTTCGTGTTTACGCGGCGAAAGGAAGGATATTCACCGGTACCTCATTTACCGTCCTATTCCGCAGGAGGTTCCCGAGGAGGGGTTGCAGCTAATAGGAGCATATGAGAAGTCGCGATTTCCTCGCTCTTCGGTGCTTCGCGAATCGATTCGAGATAACATGATTTTACGTCGCTAACAAGCTTCGCTCTTCTGTCGTGGATGATCAAGCACACGAAAGTTTCGGCAATTTTCCTGAGAGTCTGAACCGCGAAAAGGCGGGAATGACCATTCTGTCTCCCGAGGGAAGAAAACGGGACAAGCGGAGAACTTTCACAGACACAGTCGTATCGTCTGGCACGGTTGATGGAGTAGTCTCGTGGCTAATGTCGAGCGAGGGAAGTGAAAACGGTCAGCGTCGACGACGACAACGACGAGGACGACGAACGATATCCGATTCATCACCCTGACCAACGAAAGGGACTCACGCGACTCCCAAGCCGCAAACAAATCAAGAGCGCGTGCAAAATCATAATTTAATCGATGAGAGTGAATGTCGAGGCAAAGTAATCTCTCGCCGAACGTCAATTACGTTCGGCAAATGATTGTAACAGGGTTACAAATTGTGACATCTATGAAAAGTTTAAAATATGGAAGAAGATAGTGGTCCATGAATGAAAAGCAGCTATGAGCGAAGTAAGAGAACAATAGAAGGAGGGGAAAGCAAGGAGATATGAGGGTAGCATGGTACCGAGGTACCAAGGTACCGAAGCAGTTCTCGAAGATGCTATCCGGGGCGTGCCTCGTGTACCACGGCGTCGTCGAATCGAAACCCTTGGCGAAGGTCATCGAGATCAGCGCACTCGGCACGTCGATCAGACGATTTTGTGCGGCACACCTGCGCTCAGGCTTATCCGGTCCGCGCTGAGCGGCTCCTCGCGCGCACAGCGTGTGGGTGCGGGCTGACAGCTCCTATCGGAATGGCTCGGATAGGTTATTGGAGGTCCTCAAATGGTATCGAACAAGGTTTTGCTGTGGCGCGCGGGAGGGGTGATAAGAGGGAGCGGTTTCTCTAAGTATCGCGAAAGGGACGCACACCACGATCGACGATACCCATACGGGCTCAGATCTGCTCATTGTACGAACGGGTTACGTGACGAAATGCGAGTGTGCGGTTACTAGTACGATTCGAGAGCGTCCCGACGTGTATACGTCGATTTCCATACGTGCGAATTCTCTTGAACAGGGCAAATGTGTGCGTAAGTCGAATGCACGCGCGTGTACGAGTCCGAGATTGGCCAGTCTACTCGATGCCGAGGGAAAAGATACTGCGGGACGTGGCCATCACTGATGAGCCAACCCACACCGTGCGACAGCGACAAACAGGACAGCACCGGGACAGGACAGGACCGTCTCGCTCGGTATCAGGATTGTAAATCCGGGATTTTATTCGCCCGGTATCGAGGTTTATAGTGTCCTCAGTGGTATGAACCTGTGTGCGTCGTCCGCTCGCGTACGTGTGCCTGAGTTATGTTCAACCGTCTCGCGGCAAGACGTTTGCATATCTCCGCTCCTTCGCTCTCCTATACGAACCAACGTCTCCGGAGGAGACGAGCGCCGAACGAAAGGGGAGGAGAAGAGCAGGAAAGGACGATCCGCAACCGCGCCGCGCCGCGCCGTCCTCCCCTCGGAAAGAACTCCGTTTACCTCGGTCCGTCATCCTCCGCCTCTGTCCGCGAAACGAGACCTTCCTGAAAAACGCGCGGTTTATCTTGGCCCCCGGCATACACCGGGTATTAACCGGCTGTCCGGCGAATCGAATTTATCGAACGGCCTGGCTTTATCGAACGCCCCCACTTAACGTCCCGCTTAATTAGACACCGGCCGACCGGTGTGCTTAATGACGAAGGAGTCCCGATGACGCCAGGACGAGCGCTTCCACTGCCATTCGATTCTCTTTGACGCCCTATCGCTATGTCTACGTCCCTTCACTCGGTGTTCCCCTTTACCTTTCCTA